CGCTTTACCTTTTCTTCTTCTGCTGTTTCCTTTCCATAGGTAAAAGCCATCAACTTAGTCAATCCTAACCCCATATAATTTATGTCATAAAGTTGAATACAATCCACCTTTTTCAAATTATTGGGGTTAGTGAGACCAAGACCCTCCTTAGAGTTATAAAATTGTGTGTCCTTGTTCTGGTTAAGAAAAATGGTTTGTTCTGTCTGTCCTCTCCTGGCTAGTAAATCTTCCAACTCTTTGATTTTTGTGTAAAGCTTGCCTCTTTTTTCATGTAGAAACTCATTTTCAGCTTTGGCAATGTTTCGTTCTAATTCAGTCTCACAAACTTTCTTAGTTAGTTCAGCTACCTTTTGAGTAAGCTGATCTAATTCTAAAGTTTGCTTCTTTACAATTTCTTTTTCATTTTCTAACTGTATGCTCAGAGATCTGACTTTGTCTAGACTGTCAATAAGGTATTTATGGTTGATGTTTCCCTTGTCTCTTAACTCCTTAATGAGATTGTCCTTCTCTTGTGAAGAGTGAACATTGCAAGTACAGGAGCAAGAAGGCTTAGAGGCATCCATGGTTGATTGTTGAATGTTGACCGTAGACGTGAGGTTGATTGAAGTTTCTGCAAATTTCCGGACCTTGAAGTGTAGCTTGGTCCTTGAGAAAAATAGCCTTAACCTTGAGATTTTTTTAATGAATTGATTTTTTTTTAAATCTCAAGGTTGACTCTTGGAAGCTTTGGTTGTAAGGTTCACCTTTGGTGTTGGAGTTTTGGACTTTGGAGTTTAAAGTGGCTCAAAACTAGCTCTTGGAAAAAATTGATGAAAAGTGTACACTTTCAAGGAAAGGTGGAAAGTGAGTTTCTTTAAGTTTCCCACACCTAAACTCCTTGAGAAGTTTGAAGCCTATAAATATGAACCACTCCTCTCTTAGAATTAAAAGGTGAAGGAGAATAGGGGAGCTCTCGCGCACACAAGAATTTCGGCTTTCAGTTCAGAATCGAAAATTCGCACCCCCCATGCGCGGGCGACCTGCGGACACGATAGCCGTAAAATTCAGCGGGTCTCAAAGAACAATTTTGCCTTTTTTTTTTCGAGCTCAGCCTACTTTCTCGATACATGGTTCTCGACAAAACTTTTCGATGCCTGGTTCTCGACAAAAAGTTTTCGAGGCTGTCTTCTCGATGCCGGTTATCGAGAACCTGGTTTTCGATGTTGATCTGCGAGAAGTTCTTTTCAATCGAAAACCTGCACTTTTCGATATTACCTTCGAGAAAACCTGTAAAAAAACCAATAATATCAAAATCTTCACAATCCAAACTAAGCAATTCCACACTGTTTTATCTGAAATGTTGATCGGAATCCTTCAGAAATTGCAGAATAGCGTCCAAAACAGGTCCATCATAACAAAATTTGCAGAAATCAAATTTTCGAAAAAAATTGTTTTTCAGCGTCAATGGCAGATTCGAAAACGCAGAAAACCTTCAATCGATTTCACGCTCGGCTCTGATACCAATTGTTTGTCCCTGTTTCAACAATCAAACTAACAATATAGAATAGAGTAGAGAAGAAAATATGATCCGATTCAATACAAGAATGATTTCGAACTACAGCTCATGTATGAAAAGGAAATTTCCCTGCTCTCTCTCTCTAGCGTAAAATGTATGCGTGAATAATCTGTAAAGCCTCTTTCGCACATTCCCTTAAAGACAATATTTATATGCCTAGGGAATGTGTATGTGACCTAAGCATGATTGGGCTCTTTTATTGATTGGCCCAATAGCACACTTTACACATTTCCTAATAAGGCTAGTTGAATAATTGCTAACAAAGATCCCAATGGGCTAAAATATCTAGACAAAGTAGCTACACGAATACAAAGATATTTATCAGGATTGGACACCATAAATATTCCTAACAGACCCTGAGCTCCGTGAGGTCAGAGCTGGGATACAGGGAGCTCATATCGGGGGAATTCAATTCTTGTCTCCAGTTTGCTAACAACGGCTATTTCCTCGTTCCTATTTGACTTCCATTGACTTCCAAGGTCGGGTCGGGTACCGACCTCGGTGTGCTCGAGGTTGGCATCATATTTGGCCTTATCTTGGTGATCTGGGAGCTCGATGTTGCTCCAACCTCGCGGGGTCGAGGTTGGCCTCGGTTGTGGTTCCATACTTTGTTGATTCATGGTCTTTTTTCGTGACCCAGCCTTGTGCGTCGAGGTCGGCCTCGGCTAGAACTTTACCCTGGATATTGGTATATCTTTGAAGTCTTTGTTCGCTGGTTATGATACCCCTGGGGTATATGGGAATATACTCCATCAATTCCTTTTATTCATTCATGTCTTCTTTACATGAAGTAAGAAGTATATTTTTTCACAATGTTTCATAGTTAATTCAACTATCATGTCATCATATTCATAACACATACGAAGGACAATTTTTTCATAATTTTGTATATCATACTCCTTTTCTTTCTAGACAACACTCTTCTCATTTTAGGCATTATTAATCATGAATAATCCACAAAAATACATTTAAACACCTTAGGTAATCTTATGAAATCAACTCACTGATTATAAACAATATAGTCAGACATTCTCACCTTATGATATGTTTAACTAGCTGCCTTTGTGAAGCCCTTCGGTTATCCCCGTTCTGGACCGAAAAAACGAACTAGCTAGACAGAAGCCAAAAGTCGGGTGGCTTTTGCAAAATGTGGGCGGCTTTCGGGTCCTGCAGCTCGAAAAGAGTCCCCTACAATGGCGGTTTCCGGCGGTTTCAACTCCTATCGATTTTACGACTCTTCTACTAAGTTAAATACCACCACTTTATATCAATATTCTACATTTTAAACGTGTAGAACCTCTTGTTTAATCCACCATATGATTTCTTAAAAATCATATGAATAAAATACTAGTTAAAGAGAACTAGTTGGATTCTTACCTTGAACTCAAGCTATTTCTTTTGGATTTCCTAGCTTCTTTCTTCCTCCAAGGTTGTTGTTTGTGAGAGCTATTACCAAGACTTCTCGCTCTCTCTTTTGAGGTTCGAATGATGAGAAATGAAGAAGGAAGCACCATCCCTCATTCAAGTAGCAAAATAATGTGTAGATAGGGCTATAGGGGTGTGGGTGTTTGTCTTGCACATCACCTCACTCTCTTGTCCGTCCCTATGCCTCATTTTAGTCTCAACTTGGTTATTTAGAGTGTAAAATACATGTAGGAAGATCCCCAAGTGGGTGAGGGATGTCCACCCCTATTTTATTGCTATTTTTAGCAAGTTGGGTCAAAATAGCATTTGAGTTGTTCTAACATTTTCATTAACATTAGTTTGCAATTTATTGTGCTTCTATAGTTATTAGGATGACCCAACTAAATATTTGGTAGCTCATTCTCAATATTCCGGGTCCGATAAATAATTTAATTAGTCATTCATTAATTAAATCTATCATCCTTTTACGCACAATTATCAACTAGGAAGTTCAAACACATATTGAATTTTTATTTCAAGTACATCGGGTGCGGTGTCACAAGAGTTTTCTTCAATGTCAAACTTTATAATATGATGACAATAAACGGAGTTGAAAGTATGAATAATGTTTTGAAAAGTGATAGAGTACTTTCCATTGCTACATTGTTGAAAGGAGTACAAGTAAATGTTTTGAGTGGAGAGATAAGAGTTTGGTAGAAAATTATACCGTGGTACCGGTATACCATGCTCATGGTATACCTGTACCACATACGATACCGTTTTTGGAAGGCAATAGCTCCCCAAACTCATGCGCAATCTTTTGACCGCATGTTTGAGTGTTTGACTGCTTCTTCCTTCGGTTGCACATTTTCTTTTTGAAAGCTCCATTGCACATTCTAAAAAAATGTAAAATTTAAAACTACTCACCATCAAATCTCTTAGCTCGAGTAAAGAACTAAAAATATGCCAATTTCTCACTTTATTAAAGTTATCAATTCCAATCGGCTGCACACAAAATATTCAATCGACTAAAATTTGAAAATATAGATTTATAGATACAGCCTAAACAGAAAACTATTAACTAATTAAATTACAATTGCATTAATTTTTTTCTTTACTAATTTATTACAAAATTTTATTAATCCACATTAATATATGTATTTCATAATCATACATTGTTATTCACTTTTTTTTTCTTCGACTAAAATTACTACGAAATTTATTTTATGTGTATTTTGTTTTTTACATTTATACACTTTTTTTTTTGTAAAATAGTTGTTATATTCACATGCCCGGTCTCTTTTTTATATTTTTTAGTTTTTTTTAAAACATTAAGTATATGAAGTTACATCTTAATGTACGCGAGTTACATCTTAATATACGCGATTTACATCTAAAAGTATGTGAGTTACACTACGGAAAACCCCCTGCTATATCATTTTTATAGCCCTAATATTAAAAACGAAACATATTCACTATTTAAAAAGTAATTGGGCTATTAGGATCAATTTTTCATTGTTTACATTGAAATCAATGTGTATAATACACACACACATTATTCTCAAACACAAAAAAAAATCATTGTTCTATTTTTCAACAAGTTACATTCTGTATACACCCAAGTTACATTCTGTATACACCCAAGTTACATTTGTCATCAACGCGAGTTACATTTGTAATAACACGAGTTACATAAAAAAATCAAACCCTGTTATTGAAACAAAAAAATGATATTTTCTAAAAAAATATTTTTTCTGGCCATGATATTAAAAATAAAACATATTCACGTTTTACCTAAAGCATTGTGCAATTACACTCTCTTTTTTCATTATTTACATTGAAATCAATATTTGACAAGTTACATTCTGGATGAGCTTGAGTTACATTGATCAGTAACGCGAGTTACATATTTTTCCACACGAGTTACATCATCCATACTATTGGAACAAAAAAAAATCACTATACACACGTATACTATTCACACGATTTTTTTTTTTAAAATTATCCAAAACTACATCGTTTTAGAAGTGGGAGCATAACGCTCCGGGCGGGGCGGTTGGACGGTATACCAAATGAGGATACAAAGGTAGTGATACAAATTTCTTTCAGACTTTCAATGCGCCGCCCAGTCAAATTGTAATTATACAAATTTCGCAAGTGATGTGTTTATTTGGGTCTGAGAAACATTCTGAGTGAGAACTAGAGTGGAGATACACAGTAGCCGCAAGGGCAGCAACTCGCCATCGGCACAACAGAGATATATAAAATGCCTAGATCTAGAATTCTGCAAATATTTAGTCGCTGTTCTAAGCAAAGCCGAGTATTTCTCTTTTATCGCCAAAGTAGGAGCATTTCTGCTCTTCCCAACTATACCCAGCTAGATGATCTTCAAGAGCAGGTCCTCTCTATACGACATGCATTACAATTTAAATGCACCATATGCATTTAAATTTTGACATAATGACATGGAGGCACTTTTGTTTTTGTTACCTTCTTAGGTTTTAGTTGAAGGGAGATCGAAATCAAGAGCAGCAATACTCAATAGACCATCTGCACTCAATTCTCTCACTAGCTCTATGGTTTGATATGCAATCTCTCTGTTTCTGTTGCTGCACAAGTGCAGTAGTGTTACATTGCAAATGAATCTGAACGTCTGAAATGGTCTTTTTACTTGGATGAAGGTGCCTCGCTTAAATAGATTGTACAACTCATGGGAGGAGAACTCTGAAATTGGATTTGTTCTGATGAAGGTATCATTTGTAATAAATTGCTTTCTTGTAAACTTTAGTCCTAAGTAGTTAGTTGTTACTCAATAGGTGTATTTAAAAATTGCTCACAATAGGACCAAAACATAGGCAAAGTTCTAAAACAGGACTACACAGGGTTCTTCCTAAAATAAGTCTTATTTAGTCCTATTGAAAGAATAAAATAATAAAAACTTCCCTAAATAGGAGTGCATGAGTCTTATTACGGAGTCTTATTCAGGGAAGAAAACAATGCAACTCCTATTTAGGGAATTTTCTTGTAGGTATTCTGTCAAAGGTCTAGTAACATTTAGGACCATCACTTTGTACTGTGTCTATTCATAAAATTTTAAAAACATATGGTACAATGTTCTAATAATATTAGTCTTATATTTTTAAAAAACATTAAATCTCTAAAATTCATTAGTCTATTCATTAAATCAACGATAATAACTAGCATAATTCTTAAAACATTTATAAAAGACCCAATCATCTAATGAATCATAACTTATTATATCCTAATTAATCATTATTTGGTTCAAGATCAATATTATCTCAATCTTCTTGTATAACTAAAATAGTTCTTGTGTGAGAATTTATAGTTTTACAAATTATTGAAATTTAAATCTCTAAAATATGGTTTGTGAAATTGAAGTGCTCAACTTTTTTAATCTCGCACTGACGCAAATTTATTTTGAAGTTTTCACATTAAATTGAAACCGAGTTACTCGTTAGTAACCAGAGTCATGGAATCTCCGAAGTTGCCGAGTACTCTTCAAATAACTTGTTTTTTCAAATCGAACTGAGTAGGTAGACAACTCTGGAAGGGCTAGGAGCGAGTGACAACTGCCCGAGTAGTGAGTACTCTGCAGTACTCACTTACTAAGGGAGTGTTTGCAACTGCTTAAAAAAAGCGCTTCTCAGCTTTTGGCTTAAAAAAACTAAAAAGAGTGTTTTTAAGTGACAACTTCTACTTAAAAAAGCGTTTCTCGGCTTTTGTGCGAAAAGTGCTTTTTACTTTTTTGATTACACAAAAAACACTTATTTTACCAAACACTACCAACTTTTACTTTTCAAAATCACTTTTTTCTCAAACACTATCAACTTGTACTACTAACCACTTTTCCAAAATCGCTACAAAAAAGTGCTTTTTTAAGAAAAAACAATTGCAAACACTCCATGAATAGCATCACATTATTGTTTGGCTTTAAATGTTACTGTATGGTGTTGAATGGGTAAGCTGACAACGATCCTATGTTTCTACTTAAATTTGGCACAGGGAAGTAATCAAGCTTTTTGTTCTGGAGCTGATGTTGTTATGCTTCATCAGTTGATGAATGAAGGTCTTAATAGCTGGTTTATGTTTATGATTGTAGATTCATAGTTACTTATGCTCTGTACTTCTGTTTCTCTTTTATCTTCAATGCAACAACATCCAAGCCTTAGTCCCAAAAGATTTTGGATTCGGCTAACATGAATTGATACATGATATCGGTACCCAAAAGAAAGGAAATATAAGCTATATAAAAAGATAATGTAAGATAAAAAGGATAAGATAAAGAAAAAGATATTAACAATAAGATAAAGAGGATACGGCTTGATTGTTGTTTGTATACTTCATTTTTAATCATGTTATGCTTCTGAAATTGTTTAAGAATGTTCAAGTTTTGATGCTATGCTTTTCTTTTTTCTCATTCTCTGATGCCTCCTATAGTAGGAGGCTTTTGTTTAAGAGCACTTAACAATTTTGATAAAATGTACCTGAAGCATACGTAACCCCGCAATTTGACTAAATTTAGGAAACAACTTATAGTGGCACTTTTCTTCAATGTATCCCATTTAGCTCTAGTTCTAGTTTCTGGCTATTTGTGCATCATTTATAAGCTCCACAGAAGATATGCCCCTGTCCCTTCACAATTCAAGATTTTATGATGCATACAATGTAGATATAAGCAGACACAGCTAATCACCTATGATAAAGAAGGAATATTAGTATGATTTTCTTAGCTGCTTCGTTGTTCATTATATTTGCTACTCTTTCAACTGTATTATGTTCTGGATAAACATTGTAAAATAGAGGAATTCTAAATCACATCTTCCAATGTCTGACATGGCTCTTTGTTCTTTAACTATGACTCTAGAGATTTAAAACAGGAAGTCATTTTTAGTCCTTCAATGATTTACTCCTAGCCCCAACCATTTCAATTTTTTTGGAAGGGTGGACTAAGTCATTAGTGGGTTGAATTCATTGTTAATAAGCTGCTGAAATGGCATAAATTTTCTTCATTTTACTTGTGTAAAACACGTGTACGTATTAGTAGTCACTTGGGTGGGGTGACGGGGTCTGTAACTGGAATGGTTCAAATTGTAAGACGTATATATACTTGAAGGCAATCATATTTTTCCTGCCTTGACAATGGGGATGAAACAGGAAAAATTGAGGCACCACAATTGCTTTTTTTCGTCTCAATATGTAACAACGATTTCTCTCTGCAGGGAAAGTTGAAGAATGCAAAATTTTCTTCCAGACACTCTATAATTTTATCTACCTTTTAGGAACATATCTGAAACCACATGTAAGTTCTATAAGAATTTACAACTTCGTAGCTTAAAGATTTGTTAAAAAATAACTTGTATTTGTTAACATCATATTGCTCATGCAGTCATGCCCTTATAGTTCTATTAGTTGGGTATTTAAATGTCAAGTGGATCTCATATGTACAGATTGCAATTTTAGATGGTATTACAATGGGAAGTGGGGCGGGTATTGCCCTTCCTGGAATGTTCTGCGTTGCAACTGATCGAACTGTAAGAAACTATTTCCTGGATCTGTACAATGATATCAGCTTTGTTTGGATTGGCAATAATTGGAGGCCGTTGTTTAAATATGCTTTGGTTATTACAACGTTAAAAGTTTAAAATTAAAAAAGTTTATATGCTTGCCCATGTCCTTAACTTTCTTGCTTAATGGTTGGTACACCCATAGTTCTTTTCTTAAACCCACCAAATCTTCAGTTTACTATATATTTCGCTAAATCCCTTAATTTTCATTTTTCTTGGGACCTATGTAGTATGTATTATGCTGAATGAATTCATGATGCTGTCATTTAGGTATTTAGCCGTACTCGCTGTACTATATGGAACATTGATACGTTAACTCATGACCATTGTTCTTCAGAATAGATTAATTCAGAAATTTAGTAAACATGTTCCAGATCAATTCATGTTAGCCGACCCCGAATTTATTTGGGTCTAAGGCTTGGATGTTGTTGTTGTTGCTGTAGTGAACATGCTCCATATGGAAGAAGAGATTCTCCCAACTACGTAGAAATAAATTTATACACTAAATCAAAGCACAATTTCATAATGACTGCACTTATACCAAAAAGAAAAGGATAAAGAAAGATAGCAAGAGAAAAATTGACAATCCTGAAGTTGTTGACAAACCTGCAGGTTTATTCTACTCCAGAAACTCAAATAGGGTTCCATCCTGATGGCGGGGCCTCATTTTATCTTCCCCGGCTTCCTGGCTACTTAGGTATATTGGCATAACGATTAGTCTTCTGTATCACACTTAACTTAACTGATGACTAATCTACATGGAAGTTCTCAATTATGAGAACAGCTTGTCACATTGTCATATTTGGTAGTTTTGTATTTCACATGGGCTAAAATTCCTTTCCAGGATGTTGAAGTGAAACGTTGCTGCACTTTTGTAAATATCAACTTATGTGAGTTATGTCAATACTCTAAATGAATTTAAAATAAATTATGATAGTAGTGTTGAGATTAAAAAAATCTTTTATTTATCACAAAAGTGGAACTAAAGAAGTAAAAATTACTTAATTACAAAAAGACCAAACCCACAACACAAACTCTCTCACTGCAGTATCTCTCCGATTTATCTTCACCCCACAATGGCTTCAACATATTACCCATATTGAGCATACATCATTGAACATTCTCAATAATGATGTGATTCTTCTATTCGGCTACACCATTTTGATATGGAGTTTGCTACTTAAACTCTTCATGTTTGATCCAGAAGTTCTATGTAATATACTAATATGCATAAAACTTTCTGGAAGTATACTAACCCTCATGACTTAAACTGTTCATCTGCTTGCATGTCTGTCTTTTCACCATCACGTGAAAAACTTGAAGCAAACCAACACCTTATTTTTCTACTTGAGATAATAAGTAAACATTCATGATGTAGCAGGTTATCATTAATAAAAGTCATGTCCTATCTGCTTTCACCAATAGCTTTTTCCTCAGTAGGTCCAGAGTAGGTCCAGACACGTCAGAGTGCACCGTCTGAACTAAGGGTCTCCAGTTAATAAAAAAACAAGATGTAAACACATCTTCACCCCATAATGGCTTTAAAATATCACCCCATTGGAGCTCTGAGCAATCTGAGGTTTCTCATGGAATGTTTCATGTTCTTACAACCTTCTTCTACCTTGATCACGTTTGCCTCAACCATGTCCTCTACCTGCTGTTCTACCTCCACCTCTTCCTTTAATTTCTAGGGAAAAGGGTCAGATAGGCCCTCGAACTTACATAAAAGGGTCAAATAAGCCCTTATATAGGAGCTCAGTCCGGCCGTCGCCATTTGGGGCGGTTCCCAGTGGAAGTTTTTTATGAAATTTTTTGAGCATCTTATTTATTAAGTCTAGTTTACTCATACCAAATTTCAGCTAAAACTTCAATCGGGAAGGCATTCAAATGAATTCTTGAAGATAACTGCGCAGTTATCTTCAAGAATTCATTTGAATGCCTTCCCGATTAAAGTTTTAGCTGAAATTTGGTATGAGTAGACTTAATGAATAAGATGCTAAAAAAAATTCATCAAAAAATTCCACCAGGAACCACCCCAAATGACGACGGCCGGACAGAGCGTCCTATATAAGGGCTTATTTGACCTTTTTATGCAAGTTCGAGGGCCTATCTGACCCTTTTCCCTTAATTTCTAGCATGAAGGCACAGGACTGCTCTGTACCAGTCTTTATCCTCATGGTTTCGTCATTCAATAGGGCTTCTGTGACCATCTCTAATGCTAAGAGTAACAACAAACATCTCATAGTTATTAGGTTAAGAGCTCAGGAGCAATATGTTTTACTTCATGTCTTTATGATCCCATTTTGTAGCACTGAGTTAATTCATGAGATCTCAAAATTGACTTGTGTCCTTGATTATGGACGTACCGCTCCGTAATATGTGGTTTACTAGCCGTTTCATCTGGCGTGGTCTTGTTGCTTGCCATCTTAGCTCGGTACTTAACTTGGTACACACTCTTTAGCTTTTCTTACTGTTTGTTCGCTCTTGAATGTTGAGAGATATGATGAAAAATGTTTTTGTATTTTTATTATCGAATTCAAGTCACAGTTTTCACATTTATCGTCATCCAAACATCAAGTCATTGTATTTGATTTGATGCCTATGTTTTCTATGGCCTCTGCCAAATCCTTCATGTTCAACATTCCATTCTTGACTTTCACATATTATAATTTGTCTGCGTAAGCTATATCAGTGTTTCCAAACTTGAAAGTATCGTGATAAATGTGTAAATTTGTGTTTATATTATGTTTCGAGGTAGAACTAGTCAAAACCAAAATCGCGATTGAACGTAAAAGGGTACAAAATAGTCGGAAAGACTTTTCTGGAGTCAAAATACATTCTGTCGAAAATTAATGGTCAATCTATAATTATCCAAAAGTATAGATACTAATTAGCAATTTTGTTTGAACTTTAAGTCTGGCATTGATGGAAGCTATATGCGGTGACGTGGTAGACTATGTGGCAAGCGTCACAAGTCACAACATGCAATTAGCTGATGACTTGGTGACATGTCATGCGTGTCATCGACTTGGTGACACGTACAGATCGGGTGCCACTAGACAGAAACAATGACATGTTGCTAACATAGTGGCACATGTCATGCAGATGACTGACTTGTGCTGACATGGTGATGATGTGGGCCGTCTTCTTCCTTAGGTTACCGTGTGCGGTAGCCAGGTGCCACTGGGTGGTGCTTGTCAACGCGTGCGGCCGTTCGGAGGACAGAAAATACTGGAGTGACCATCTTGATTAGAGGGATCTGATGGTATTCTCAGAAATGATTTTGAGCATAAAAGAGATCATACAATTCTCAGATCAGTGCTTTTGCTATGAAGTTTTTCTGATTATTGGGATTAAAAATGTCTTCTACTTATAACATATCAGCACTGTAGGAGTGAAGCCCACTCAACTACAAAATAACCAACCCACTACACGAGCCCTTCCACTAGAGTTTCTCTTTGGTTTCTCCTCTCACACAACTTCTTAGTCTACACTTCGAGAATGGAAACATACATATTTATTGGATATAAACTACAAAGAATGGCAACTATATTTCACCATCACAAGAGTTGTTTAAAGTTGGAGACTATTCAATTTCCACACATGGATGGATATTGTGGCCATAGGATAGAAATGTATTTCTTCATATTTTAAAGGGAAAAGGTACAAATATACCCCCTGTAATATGATTGTGGAAACAAATATACCCTTCTTCTATTTTGTGGAACAAATATACCCCTGAGGTTTATGTAGAGGTGCATATATACACCTAAACTTTAAAAATGTGCAAAAATACCCCTCATGTTCCTACAAAAGAACAAATCTACCCTTATTGACTTTTAATAAATAAAATAAATTATAAAAAGCACTAAAAATAAATAATAAATTCGAAATTGAAAAATAAAAATTAAAGAGTTCAAAATAAAGATTTGTTCTTATTTAAAATATTAACTCTCTAATTTTAATTTGCAATTTTTTTTCCGTTGTAAATGAAGCACTTAAAATTCATAGATATTAATTTTAGTCTTGTTGTGAAATTTTGAACACATTGTTACTTTTTTTGAAATAACATTCTCTGATTTTTTTAACCTTAATAAAATTAAATTCACTATTTTGTAATCTTAGACTATTTATCATCATACAAAATATGTAATTTTATATCGCAAAGAATACAAAAAATTAATGATTTATTTTACATTACAATGCATATGTTAACATAATTCTGAAAGAATCTTAAATATATAGTAAATTTTTGAAATAATATTTATATTGAAAATATTTAATTGTGATATAAAAATAATAAAAGGGAGAATTGTACACAAGCAGATTTTTATTTTTATTCTATTTTTCAATTTCAAATTTATAATTTATTTTTGGTGTTTTTTGAAATTTATTTTATCTATTTAAAGTCAATAAGGGTTAATTTGCTCCTATATAGAAACATGATGTGTAGTTTTGCACCTTCTAAAAGTTCAGGGGTATATATGCACTTCCACATAAACTTCAGGGGTGTATTTCTTCCAAAAAATAGAACATGGATATATTTGTTCCTACACCCATACTGGAAGGGTATATTTGTACCTTTTCCCTATTTTAAATACATTATTTCAAGGCATCATCAATTCCTCCTACATTTGCAGGTGAATATTTGGCTTTAACAGGTGAAAAGCTTAACGGTGTGGAAATGGTTGCCTGTGGTCTTGCATCGCACTACATACTAAAAGAAGTTAGTTTTGATTGTGCAGTTCACTATGTTTTCCTAACACTGGACCTGCTTTTAACATTGGACTACTCATTCCATCTAACAGAGGCTTCCATGGATTGAAGAACGGCTTGGTAAATTGATGACAGACGATCCTTCTGTTATTGAAAGCTCTCTTGCTCAGTATGGAGATCTTGTTTATCCAGATAGAAGAAGCTTTCTTCACAAGTAATGTTCTCTTCCCTTCCCTACCTTTTAATCATGCTCTCTCTAAAGCTATATATTGTAAGACTGTTATGGATCAACTGAGATGGTGAAAAGAATAAAGGAGCTATAAAATAGGTCAAATTATGATGCAACAGACTCTCCCTACATTCTCAAATATGATGCGACAGACTTTCCCTACATTCTCAAATTTGATGCAATAGGATTTCCTTACATTACAATTTAATCTTCCCCTTGTATCCCACTTTGTACTTTCAGGCCAGGTCCTATGCCCTCTTTTATTCTCAATAAACTATTTTTTCTAAAAACAATTTGACATAGGCAGATTGTAATCCTGGAATAGTAATTAATGGGATTCTGAACAATATGAATTGATTTTTCTAACAAGTGGTATATTTATAACTATAAATCTATAATTGAGGCACTACGGTTTCTATACAAGTTGGGCTAAGCCCACTATAACTGAAGTTTCAAAACTCCCCCTCAAGCTAGAGCATATAAATTATATGCACCAAAACATTTGCAAGTTGATCTTATGTTTTGGCATAATTTGTGATGATACGGCCATTTGTGATTCTCTTGGACTCGGATAAAGTGATAGTCAACATCAATATGTTTAGTCCTCTCATGATATACAAAATTTGAAGCAAATAAACAATGTGCATTGCAACTTGATTGTCACATATAAGTTTGGCAGATTTCATGCTTCCACATAAGATGTTTCAATCATAAGATTTCACATGAAGTAAGGACCACGACACGGTATTCTGCTTCAACATTAGATTTGACAACCAAATCTTATTTTTTACATTTCCAATAAATCAAATTTCCACCAATCAAGATGCAATGTCTAGAAGTAGAATGTCTATCCATCGGGCATCCAGCCCAATCTGCATCGCATCACAATATCTCACAATTTCATGGTGACCTCGATCTTCGAAGAGCAATCATTGCCAATTGCCATGATGCTTTTTTGATGTATCTCAAGACTTGGATAGCCGCACCCCAATGTCCATCACATGGCTTATCAGGAAATTGACTCGGCACACTTACCACAAATGAAGTATCTTGTTGCGTGATGGGAAGGTAATTCGTCTTTCCAATAGACCTTCTATATCTCTCCTTATTAGGCAAAATGTTACCCTGTGCTGTCAAAAGTTTGACATTTGGATCCGTTGGTGTTTCTACAGGCCTGAACTCCGTCATACTTGATTGTTCAAGAATGTCCAATGCATATTTTCTTTGAAAGATGTCAATCCCATTTTTAAATTGGACTATCTCAATACCAAGATATTATTTCAGTTTTCCTAAATCTTTTGTTTGAAATTTGCTGAAGAGATGTTTCTTGAGTTGGGCAATTCTTTGGTCATCATTACGTGTAATGATAGTGTCATCCACATATATAATAAGAAATATACATTTATTTCCCGCAGAATGTCTATAGAATTTGGAATGATCAACATCACTGCAAGTCATGCAAATTCGTGAACAACGACACTAAACCTTCTGAACATGCACCAAGAGATTGCTCCAACCATATAAAGAACGACGTAATCTGCACACTAAATTAAACTCCCCCGACCCAAGCAACAAACCAAGTGGTTGCTCCATATAAACCTCCTCATCTAAATCACCATGAAGAAATGCATTTTAATGTCCAACTGAATTAATGGCCAATGACTCATTGCTGCCATGGATAAAATCAAACGAACTGATGCAATCTTTGCTACGGGAGAAAATGTGTCAGTGTAGTCTAAACCGCAGATATGTCATATGCGTGTATTGCTTCACAACCAAACGTGCTTGAATATGGTCAATTTTTCCATCTGGACTAACTTTACCTTATATATCTATCAGCATCCAATAACTGATTTCCCGTTGGAAAGAGGAACTAAATCCCATGTCCCACTAGAATGTAAAGCTTCCATTTCAGCCAACATTGCTCTATGCCACTTCGGGTGTGGGAGCGCCTCATGTGGTTTAAGGAATGCAAACATCAGATAAGCTTGAAGTGAAAGCAAAGTGCTTGAAGTGAAGCAAAGTAAGGGATGGAGAGGCGGTGATAACTGAGAAAGTTATATATGAGAGAGGATTTAAAGCTGAGCGTGTACCTTTTGAGAGAGCAATGTGCAAGTCACGAGTAGTGGTCTCTTGCACTTGTGTAGCTGAATGTGCTAGTGGTGGAAACAACAGGCGTGAGTGCGTGACCTCATTGGACTCAATGGATGAAGGACGAGGATGTCGATGATTCACTTGTAACAGACGGGTGGCGGGTGGCTGGATTATTTGTGTGTTCTCTAGATATTTGGTCGGCATGAGTTTTGGTGTGGTGGAGATGGGTTTGAGATATGGGAGGAAGTTTACACATGATGGAGTATAGTCAGAGAAGATGAGTAATAAAAAGAAGACTCAATAAAAGTGACATCAGTGGACACGAAATGTTTTTGAAGTAGCGGTGATTCGGTGAATAACAACGATAACCCTTTTGAAAGCGTGAATATCCAAGAAAGATACATTTACATGACCAAGCAGACATTTTAGTTATTCCAGATGCGGTATCATGGATAAAACCATAGTCACATAGTTTGAGGAACGCTTCGGTACGAGAACAAGGACTGGGAACGTGGTTCGCTGGGTCCAGTGTATCCGGTTCGGAGGGAAGGGGGTAGGTTCATTTCAATATGGGTTTGTTATGCTGTACCTTATGTTCGGTACACTGTACTTTATGTTTTGGCACTATATCAAACAAAATAAAAAAATAATTACTCCCTCCGTCCCGCTATGATTGTCCCATTTTACCATTTCGGTCCGTCCCATTAAGATTGTCTCATACCTTATTTGGTAAAGTTTGTGTGGTTCTAAATCATTCTTACTTTATTCTTACTTTATCAATTCAATATCAACCACATAAACCCACTTTTATTAATAACTGTGCCACCTTCTCTTGTCCCAAACATTGGGGGACGGAGGTAGTATATAGAAACATTTAACTCAAAACTGAAAAACAGTATCACAAACATTAATTAAAAGTTTTTCACTCAATTAATTAAGTAGGTGGCACATGAAAATGAACATACTACTAGACTAGACTCCCTGGTAACCTGGTTTGAAACATTGATGACTTGGAAGAGAAAACGAAAGGAAATGATGAGTCTTGGTATCCGCACGCTGAAAGGAAATGGCAAGTCTGGGGTCCATCGTTTGACCGTTTCGCTCAAAAAATCATTTGTTGTGATCGACGTGAATATCGATTGTGATCAACTGGGTAGCGATTGGGAATGAACCAGGTAGCGATTGGGAATGAGTATGGTAGTGTTCTTTCCGGCGATCCAGGTGGTGTTTGGAATGCTTTCATATCGCGAATGGGTACGCATCATTCGGTTCGCAGATCGTGGCCTCTCCAACGATTTATGTAATTATGACAAAAGCCACACAACCAAACACATGAGGGGGTAATGGAATGAGTGTTTATTTGGGTAGGAAACAAGACAGAATAGGGAATTGCATTGTTGAGAACCGAAGAAGGCATTCTATTGATGAGGTACATGTAGTGAGAACGGCATCCTCAATACTGAGGTGGTGTATGAGAATGTAATAACATAGTGCGAGCAGTTTTGACTAAATGTTGATTCTTACGTTCAACAACCCCATTTTGTTGAGGTGTATAAACACAAGGTGACTATGAGGGATACCCTTTGATGTCGTAAAAAATTCTTTAGTATTGTCACTGTAAATTTTTTATAAAATGACCAAATTGTGTGTGAATTCTGGCCCTTTTTTTGAAAGATATGACATAATCATAGTTACAGAAATCGCTCAGGTACCCGCGTTTTGCGTTCAGGATCGCGCGTACCGGATCGCGGTACAATTGCGCGCCGGTCGCTGCTGGGTCGTGACTCAGGTACGGCGGATTTCGGTTGCAGTTCGTGCTTCACTTGCAGGTGGTTCGCCGTATCCCTTTTGCCGTTCGTGAGTTTCCTTTAGCGGACGACGATCCAGCAGTCCAAGCGACGCGGCTTCTAAAGTCTAAACGACTGTTTCCTCTGAAATCTAAACGACCCTTCTTGACTTTCGTACTTCCTTCCAGACTCCTAAGACACGGTTTAATTGTTCAAGACTTTCGTACTCAATTCCACGGTTCAGAACCTAGACTTCGTTCTTAATATTTTAATTACTTTTGTTAATTATAGTTACTTTATTTGTTTAAGTACTTTAGACTTTTGTTTAATGTTTTAGTGAAGTTAATTGTTTAGTACTGTTATTATATTACATTTATAGTTTGTACTTCATACGCAGTAAATTGTTTGGAACTGCGTTCCCGTTTTCGTACCGCGTACTGATGCGTACCGCGTTCCATGTGACTATGGACATAATTCAAAATGCACTTTCATTAAAAACAACCATGATAGGTACCAAACAATTTACTGTATATTAAATCTAGAAATAAGAGTCCTGAAGCTATTACAATGGCAGACGAACGTAATTGACATACAAAGCAGAAGAATGGAAAGAAGGAAAAGAACAATTGAGACACTTTGAGTGGTCTCGCACTCCCAGTTACCAGCCCAAGTCCCAAGTTTTGCCTACCTCTTTCCCCTTACCCACTCATTATTTATATTGTAAAACTCTTCTAAAGGGACGACCCTCAGCCCTAAGTTATTGGGCCTAGAACTCTTTTATTGTACAATATTCAATAATTAATATTATTCTTATTAGTAGTACTATCTAGGTCCCTATCAAACCACGTGTGACATTAGAAGTCATCCACAAATATAACAAAATAATGAAATCCTTGAGTAAACTTACCTGAACACGGACCCCATATATCTGTATGAACTAAATCAAAAGGGAATACAACCCGTTAATTGACTCTTCTTGGAAAGGACTGACGAGGTTGCTTTCTAAGATGACATGACTCACAATCTAAAGATGAAAGACTTGAGAAACCGGGGATCTTACGTCGAAATTCCGAGAGATTGGAATGACCTAAACGATTATGTAAAGAAATTGCTGGTTTAGTCGACTCACAAACAATGGGATCAAGAGGGTGAAGGTGATACAAGCCTTGAGATTTACGCTAGACGGCAATCATCTTCCCCGTACGACGGTCTTGCACAATTAAAAAGTCAACACAAAAGGGGTTATAGAATAATTAAGAGATTGTGTAATTTTAGACAAGATTGATGGGGCTGTGAGGAACATATAGAACATAATCTGATGGTAAGGATGAAAGCGGAATTGCTTGCCCAATACCTGTAGTTGAAGTTTGAAGACCATTGGCTAATTTGATCAAAGGAAGGTTGTGGTGCTTGGTATTATGGGATAAAAGATGGAGATTATCGGAAATATGATCGGAGACACCTCAGTCAATGATCCATGAGCTGGTTGTATTGGAAACACTAGATGTAGAGGTACTTGATGTTGATGAAGTCATACTGGATGTCTTGAATTTATGATAGGCCTCATATTCAGCTGAAGGTAGCACAACTCTAAATGGTAGGATCTCAGCAATATTGACGGAGCGAGAAGGTCTACCTTGCAGCTTCCAACACGTATCCTTAGTATGACCAATCTAATGATAGAAATCACACTTAGGACGATTACGCTGTGGGTATCCCTTATAAATTCCTCCATTGTACCCTTGTCCCTGGGATGCAAGAATGACGGAATCACAAGAGGACTCAGTAGATATTGGGGTTGATCAAAGAATTCTAGGCAAAAGCTTCGGTCATAGCTGGAACAGAAGAATTGGAGAGGATCTTCTCACAAATTGATAATATATAAAAAATATTCAGAACTTTCACATGGTATCAGAGCTCTAGCTATCCTAGGGTTTCTGTACTCGTCTGATCATGCCCATCTCTTGCATAACATGACTCACGAAAACAATGGCTCCATCTCAGAGGTAACCTCTAAAGCACTCATCAATCCTTTCTGCCTCTTCTCAAATAAATAAAGTTGTCTCTCTCGTTACCAGCCGCAAATTTCAAAGCCTTTGAGAAACCTCTGAAACCTCTTAAGGTTAAAACCATAACAGATTGTTGTCGTTGGTCTTGTTGTTTCTCTTTGTCTTATGTGATATGCTGAATGGTATTATACTCGAACAATAATGTCTCAACGCGTCCCCAAGAAATCTTGAATGTCTATGTCTTGTTGTTTGAGTGGTAATTTTGGAGCCAAATGAAAACATATTTTGGATATCACTGGTATAGTTGGTTTGAGTTTTTTCCTAGTTCTGTATGCATGTGCGATACTGTGGATTTATTTCCTGATTTAAAGAATAACTACTGCTGTACCTTAGATCTGATTTTGTATTAATTACTAGTATCATGTAATTTATTCTTTCTAGAAATAGGATATTCTATTATTTAGATTAGCAGATTGTATATTTAATCTCTTAGATTCTCTCAATAGGCTGTATAAATATCCTATCATTCTGAGATTATAATATATAAAAAATATTCAGAACTTTCACATGGTATCAGAGCTCTAGCTATCCTAGGGTTTCTGTACTCGTCTGATCATGCCCATCTCTTGCATAACATGACTCACGAAAACAATGGCTCCATCTCAGAGGTAACCTCTAAAGCACTCATCAATCCTTTCTGCCTCTTCTCAAATAAATAAAGTTGTCTCTCTCGTTACCAGCCGCAAATTTCAAAGCCTTTGAGAAACCTCTGAATCATCCTTCCATTCATCCAACCTCTACGCATGATACTGGATTGTTGGCTATGAGAGGTATCAAACCAATTGCTTGTTTTGCCAATAGAAGCACTAACAAATCATGGATTCTAGACTCCGGAGCTTCAGATCACATGACAGGAGACGCATCAATTTTCTCTGAGTTTCACCCAAAGAGAGGAAATCACACAGTCAAAATAGCAAATGGATCACTTTCTCAAGTTGAGGGTACAGGTTCAGTCGGAATAACTAAGGATAACTAAGGACCTGACTCTCAAAACTATTCTCTATATGCCCAAATTAGACTGCAATTTACTTTCAATTAGTAAATTTACTAGTGAACATCGCTGTGTGACAAAATTTTTCTCCAATCTTTGTGTATTTCAGGATTTAAACTCAGGGAAGATGATTGGCAGTGCTAAGATGTGTTCCGGACTATATGTTCTACGTGATGAAATTTCATCCACCAACACAAACCAAAAGTTCAGTTTGCTTTCTTTGAATAGTCAATCAGTTTCTTTATCTAATAAGGATAGTGCTATCATGTTATGGCACTATCGTCTTGGTCATCCAAATTTTGTGTATTTATCAAAAATGTTTCCTTCCTTATTTTTAAATAAGAATCCAAGTTCTTTTTGTTGTGAAACTTGTCAGCTTGCTAAAAACACTCGGACTACTTATTCTAGATTGACATATAAACCATCAAAACCTTTTTCATTGATTCATAGTGATGTGTGGGGACCTTCACGCATAAACACTATAACAGGGAAAAGATGGTTTGTATCTTTTATAGATGATCACACAAGATTAACTTGGGTATTTCTTATGCAAAATAAGTCAGAAGTGAGTGAAATTTTTCAGCGCTTTCATTCTATGATTCAAACTCAGTTTCATACTAGAATTCAAGTACTCAAAACTGACAATGCCAAAGAATTTATGAATTCTATTCTTGGTACTTGTTTGATAAAACACGACATCATCCATTTAAGTTCTTGTGTTGACACCCCTCAGCAAAACGGAAAAATCAGACATCTTCTTGAAGTTGCTTGATCCCTAATGTTTGGGTCTCACGTTCTTAAAGTTTTTTGGGGGGATGCAGTTCTCACCGCTGCCTATCTCATTAATCGGATGCCATCTAAAGTGTTGAAATTTCAAACTCCGTGTCAAACTCTTCTGGAAATATTCCCTCATACAAGGTTCATTAGCTGAAGTTTTCACATCTAATTTGCCATTTCCACCTACAAGAGCTTGTGACCATGCAATCAATATAAAAGGAGCACAAATTCCAAACCACAGATCATACAGGTATTCATTTGATCAAAAAAATGAAATTGAGAAGATTATTGATGAGATGCTGAAATCTGGAATTATTAAGCATAGTAACAGCCCATATAGTAGCCCTATTTTGTTAGCCAAGAAGAAGGATGGGGGCTGGAGGTTCTGTGGGGACTATAAGGCTCTAAATAAGGTTACCATACCTGATAAATTTCCTATTCCTGTGATAGAGGAGTTGAGTTACTTGATGAGTTAGGAGGGGCCAAATTTTTTTCTAAATTGGATCTTAAGTCTGGTTATCACCAGATAAGGATGAAGGCAGAAGATGTTCATAAGACAGCTTTTAGGACCCATGAGGGTCACTACGAATACCTAGTTATGCCCTTTGGGTTAACTAATGCTCCTTCCACCTTTCAGTCTCTTATGAATGAAGTTCTGAGGCCATTGTTGAGGAAGGTTGCCCTAGTCTTCTTTAATGACATTTTGGTATATAGTAAAACTAGGGCAGAACATGAAGATCATTTGAAATTGGTTTTGGAAGTTTTAAGAGACAATCAGTTGGTGGCTAATCTCAAGAAGTGTTCCTTTGGTCAAGAAAAGTTGAGTTACCTTAGGCCTTCCTTGATCTGAAACAAGCTATGACCTCTATACTTGTGTTGAGAGTTCCTGATTTCAACAAGCTTTTTATCATAGAGACTGATGCGTCTGGCAAGGGATTGGGTGCTGTACTTATGCAAGATGGAGGCCCTATTGCCTATATGAGCAAACAGCTTTCACCCAAACATCTCACAAAATCCATTTATGAAAAGGAACTGATGGCTATAGTGTTTGCTATACAGAAGTGGAGGCCTTACTTGTTAGGCAGGTTGTTTGAAGTGCATACAGATCAGAGGAGTTTGAAATACTTAACTGAGCAGAAGGTGATGGGTGAAGATCAGCAGAGATGGATATCCAAACTCTTGGGCTATAATTTTACAATCAGATACAAACCAGGTATAGAGAACAAGGCAGTTGATGCTCTTTCAAGGAAGTCATCTTATGCAGCTCTATCCACAGTTACTTGCCATGAATGGGATGGATTGGCAGATGAGCTACCAAAGGATCCTAAATGCAGTGAGATTTTGCAGAAAATTATGATACAACCTGAGGAATGCAGAGATTACAAAATAAAAGGTGGGCTATTATATTACAAAGAAAGGTTGGTGTTGCCTAAAGGAAACTCCAGAATACCAGCCATACTAAAAGAATACCATGACACAGCTGTAGGGGGTCATTCTGGTTACTTCAGGACTATGAAGAGGATTTCCAGTTTATTCTTTTGGATAGGAATGGAAGCTGACATTAAGGAATACATTATGGGATGTGATATTTGCCACAGGAACAAGTATCAAGCTTTGAAGCCTGCAGGTTTACTGCAACCGTTACCCATACCTGACAGAATTTGGACAGATATCAGCATGGATTTTATTGGGGGGTTACCCAGATCACATGGGAAAGATACAATTATGGTGGTTGTGGATAGACTGACAAAGTTCTCTCACTTCATACCCTTGGCACACCCTTTTAATGCAAAAGGTGTGGCTGAAGTGTTTGTTCAAGAAGTGGTTAAGACTCTTGGATTTCCCAAATCTATTGTTAGTGACAGGGATAGTCTTTTCCTGAGCTCATTTTGGTCTGAATTGTTCAAATCAGCTGGAACCAAATTGAAATATAGCACTGCATATCATCCTGAGAGTGATGGACAAACTGAAGTTGTTAACAGGTGTTTAGAAACATATCTGAGGTGTCTAACTGGTACCAAACCCAAACAGTGGGTTAAGTATCTTCCATGGGCAGAATACTGGTTCAATACCAACTATCACAGCTCATTGAAAAGTACTCCTTATCAGGTTTTGTTTGGTCAGATGCCTCCTCCTATCATTAGAGGGGATGTAAATCTAACTACTGTAGAAGAGGTGGCCAGATTAACTCATGAGAGAAATTTAATGTTGGATGAATTAAAGGAATATCTATCTAAAGCTCAGAACTTGATGAAGCAACAGGCTAATAAGCATAGGAGGGAAATGAAGCTGGAAGTGGGGGATAAGGTGTTCCTAAAAATTCAGCCCTACAAGATGAGAAGCCTAGTGAGGAAAATCAATCAGAAACTTAGCCCCAGATTCTATGGACCCTATGAGATAGTGGAGAAGCTGATTGAGGTAGCTTTCAGGCTGAAATTACCTCCAGGATGTAGAATACACCCTGTATTTCGTATATCCTTGCTGAAGAAAGTGCTGAAACCTAATGTAGCTTATCAAAATCTTCCCAGTTGCCTCACTAAAGATGGTGAACTGCAGGTGAGTCCTGAAATTGTGAGGAAGGGTAGAATTAATAAAGAAGGCAAGAAGGAGATTCTGGTGCATTGGAAGAATCTACCTTATTTTGAAGATTCCTGGGAGGAGTTGCAAGTCATTCAAGAGCAATTTCCAGATTTCCAACTTGAGGACAAGATGGTTTTTCAAGGAGTGGGTATTGATAGGGACCCGACTACTAGTCTATTAGGGGGAGGTAGATTTGGTGAGGTGTACTCTAGAAGACCTAAATAGACTTGTCTCGTTATTAGTTAAAGCTGTTAGTTAACTAATAACCACCTTCCTTTTGTGGAGGTTATAAATAATAAACCCTGCTGCGGGAATAGGAGGCGGGTTCAGACTGGATGTCTTGACTGGGAAGTTAGAGTTCTATCTCTATCTTTGGGCTGTTAGTAACAGAATTCTGCCATTAATAAAATTTCTTTTTCTTGAGTTTTAATCTCTGTTTCTTTCTTGTTCTGTGATTCGATAGCTTCCTATCATCAGACGAGCAGAATATAATAGATCTGCAAAAAAAGTGAAGGAACAGTGGCAGTTGTTGGCTGTGGCGGTGCGTGGAGGGTGCATCATGGTATGGTTTCAGGGTGCAGCGTGGTGGGCTGAGCATGTTGGTAGGTGTAAATTTGATATTTCACTACCGGAAGTGCTCGAACGCCAATCGCTTCAACTGTTCATGATGGATTTACTCACCAGAATTGAGAAACACCATACCTGGGGACATACAACAGGGCTCTGACACCATGTGAAGAATATGAACTGATTTTTATTAATATGAAACTTGATAACTAATAGCTCTATACAAGTGATATATTTATAGCTATAATTGAGGCACTGGGGTATCTATACAAGTTGGGCTACTCCCACTATAACTAGGTTTTCCGCTGGATTGAATCAGTGGCACTTTGTTTGACTAGCTTTCTTATGTTATTTTATTTATCATCAATTAGAATTTCATTGTAATAGTAGTGATTGTCTTATCTTATGGTGTTAATTACAAGTGTAATTTGAATAGAGGTAACAGTAATGCAATAGAAAGGATGAGTTCAAAATGACAAAAAAGTACTCTTTGAAGTTTTCTTCCATCCAACTCATCTTCCCTCTTCATTTCCCTGCATGAATCTCTTTGGTCTATTGCCATATGCAAGAGCAATTCATCTTCTTCACTCACCAGCAGCCGCATAATGTGCAGCTCAACAAACAAATATATCAAAGTTTGTTGGGAATAGAAATGACTATACATAATACTTGGTTTATTGGAAAAGTCATGCACGAAAGTAATAATAATACATGTGGCTAATTTCCCGTTGTGATTACTGATTACACATTACTTATTCAACTCATGAATATTTTTCCATTGTAGTCCAACATTCCTATCATTAACACTATTCAGAATGAATGAACAGACAGAAAGAGAAAAAACGTATGGAGATAAAGGAAGGTGTGAACATAATGCAATGACTGTTTTACCCTGTTCGGATTTGACTGTATAATGAATGGAAATTAGATATTTTTTTCTTTTCAACCCAATCTCTCCAATTTGAAGAGGAAAATATGTGGAGAGGTAGAAAATGTGATTCATCGTCGGTTTACCGGTTTACAGGGGAGAGCCAGGATACGATAGAAGGGGGGCCAAGGTAAAATATAAAAATAACATTAAAAAATCACACACACACATATAAAATAGTTTGTAGCTTCTTCATCTATGCAAACAAGTAAACAACAAAATGACATAAACAATTTAAATATTGTTTCGACGTTCCGTTAGTAGTGTTTGAACTCTACTGGTTTAATATGCGGACTCCAAAATAAGTTTGTATAATGTTCTATTAAATATCTAAATATTAAAGTAAACACTC